TTCCTGGCCCCATCCCCGCCTCTTCGACCTGTTTGTTTCCTCTCCTCTATCCCTCTTCTAAACACCTCCCACTCTCTCCCTATTTATTTCAAAACCCCCTTCCCCTCCCCCTTTTCTGATGAAGGGTCTAGGCCCGAAACGTCAGCCTCTCTGCTCCTATGATGCTGCTTGGCCTGCTGTGTTCATCCAGCCCTGCACCTTGTTGTCTCTTTTTCAAATCAACCACTTGTACAAATCACTAGAGGACGTAACAGAGTACCTGCTGTCTCCAGTTTCCAGCCAAACCTTATGGGCAGATGATCCAGGAGGAACCAGCGGGTCCCCAAGCAGCTTGCGCTGTTTCTGGATTTCCTGAATCCTCCTTGAAGTTGCCCTTTTCAGTTTCACAGGAAACTCTTTTGCCTCGGGTCTCTTGGCTTCCTTGCTTGTTTGGCTACCCATTATTTAACAAGCCCCACTTACCAAGGCATCAAGCTCTAAGTTTAAATGAGAATTAACAATTCATAATTATGTATCTTAACGCTACAGTTTCTTATACATTAATTCACCCTTCCCCAACCCCGAGATCTCGTTATGCCTCAGTCCTCGAAGCCGCCCAGACTGTTTCGTTCTTTTGTCCTAATTGTTCATTTATTTCTCAACGAGTTTCAGTCTTCCACACGTGGTCTTGCCCGTGCCGTCTTTCCAATCTCCCCGAGATCGGATCAGGGTTGCTCTATGTGGGTCACTCGCCGGGGAAACTCGAATTCCTCGCAGACTCCTTTCTCTTATTCCCATCAATTTGTCCGGATGCCGTGAAGATAGGGATCCCGCCGACTACGCCAGATTGTTGAAGATATGAATTTAGTCACACACTAGAGCTTTAGACTTCAAGGTAAAGAGGCTTTATTCGTGATATCATGGGAGCCAACGCTGACAAAAGATCAGGTCCGTAGTCCCCGATGAGTATAAAGATAAAGCAATACTTATGCGCACCGTTATGGATTGAGACACAGTTGTTACAAGCAGATAAGCATGTGCACAGTTTATCACATCCCCTTAAGGCAGGTCAAATGTCATGTCATACATCATGGTTCCACAACTCGTGGTTGCTGATACGTTATCTTTAAGTGGAACGTGCCTTATGCTTTGGGTCAAAATTGAACAGCAGGTTCTAAGCTTTCTACAGATATGCAACAATTTGTCACATATCTCTTACTTGACCTATTTTCCCATCATTCCAACCTCTAATTCTAAGCTTTAGCTACATTCTATATCTAATTGCTCTTGACACTTTAATTATTCTTCCACACCTTGACAGAGTAAAATATCGATGTCAGTGCATCGAGGGAACAAGGACGTTATTTCAACCTTGATAGAGCTAACCAGGGCTTACTGATTGAAAACTGGACAAAAACTGTTCTTGTCTAAATAGATCAGGCTAGAAATTCTTTTGTCAAATTCGCTCATAACTATCTGTTCTCCACATCCCCATCACTCACAAAGATTCCTACCTTCCCACACACACGCTTCCCCTTTCTCACACACATGTCTTCCTGATAGTTTAAGGATGGGCTCTTCTTTCTGATGGCCCATTGTATTTTGCATTGTTCCATAATGATGGGAATCCATGACTTACATGTTTGTTTTAGAGACTGCATCTTTTTCCGTGGATTGCGGCCTTGCTGTGGTGGACAGGTTTGAGTGTCCCAGTGATCTTGAGAGCGATGCCGTCAGGAGTTCTAAGCTAGATCTATCTTCTGTTCTGCTGAGATGCAACAACATTCCCATTTTAAACCATATCAACAAGCAGTCCAACTGGAGGAATTCAAACCCCTCCATGCACACACACAACACAAGCCATGTGCTGATCAGTGAGAGGTGACAGGGACCGTATTGAGAGATCTGGAAGTTCCTATCTTCAGACCTGCAGTGGACAGTGGAGTTTGACTCAGTCTCGCTCTTGGACTAGGAACAGGAGAGTGTTTCAGCAGCTTTCTTCATGACTGAGCAGCCCCCTTCCACACTATGTATCCTGAATGGGGAAGGGGCTAGAAATGGGCCCCCGAAAATAATTTGTTCTATCACCAATGTGGCTGGAAAACTGTGCCCAGCACACTCCTTGCCTTCTGTCTGAAAACCAAAGTCAAACACAATCTCGGAACTTGGAAAGTACAGATCCTCATGGATAACGAGCAAAACAATTGTCCAGAACAAAGAACTGACCTTGTTCTCCGTGAACTCAGGCATTTCAGCATCAATATCACCACCCTGCAGGAAACTCGAAGAGGAGGCGAAGGGCAGCTAAAGGAAGAAAGTGGTGATTACACTTTCTTCCGGAGAGGAAAACACAAGGATCAATCTAATGTGCATGGAATGGGATTCACTTTCAAAAAACAAGTTCATGAATCAACTCTCAGAGCTTCCTGTTGGCATTCACATCACTTCATGACCCTTCGTCTACAACTTGCTACAAAACAGCAGGAAACGGTCGTGAGTGCCTATAGCTCCAACCCTTGAAGCCATTGATGAGTCCAAAGGTGGATTCTACTCTACCTTGGGCACCATACTCAGTAATATCCCTAAGGGAGATAAAATTATCCTCCTTAGAGACTTCAGTGTCAGGGTTAGAAAGGACACCCAACCTTGGAAAGGAAGGAGTCAGGAATTGTAACTCCAACAGGATTCTTCTGCTCACCAAGTGTACAGAACACCAGCTGACCATCACCAACGCAGTTCCACCAAAAAGACGGGTTCTGCTCAAAACACTGGCACATGACTGAATACATCAATGTTCGAACCTGAGACCAGAAGGATGTTCTCATTGCCAAAGCAATGACCAGCACAGACCTTCAGCTCATCTGCTCCTCAACGTCCATCAAATGCCATCAGAAGCAGCTGAAGATGAAGAAACAGCTCAGAAAAAAAGCTCAATATGAGTGACTCCAAGGGCTAAGCAGACTATCAAACTTCCAACTCTGCCTTCACTAAAATCTCCAAATTGAATGAAAGAAATCTGGAAAGAGCTGAAGAGAACTATCATCTCATGCTGTGAAGGAACCATTGCCTACAAGATCAGGAAACATGAAGATTGGTTCAATGAGAATGACTGTGTCATCCAAGAGCTCATCAACTAAAAGAGGAAAGCTTCCTGTGCCTGGGAAAACAATAGCATCAATGAGTCAAGAAGGGAATTCGCCAAACAGCAAAGACATCGCTACAAAGAAGAACAAAGAAACCAAGAACCAATGATGGAGTGAGAGAGTCAAGAAGCTGAGACGCCTTGCTGATAAGCACGACATCTAGGGTTTCTTCAGTGCCACCAAGACTCTTGGCTCAAGTTGGTGCAGAGTAAAGGATGGAACCCTTTTGAGAGACAGAGAAAACATCAACATCCAATAGAGAGAGCACTTGAAAGAAGTCCCATACTATGAAACAATCATTGATGAATTATGCCCTTAGCTGTACAGGAGGTGGGAGTTGTCCATATCGGACAGGTGTTTAAAGTGGGGAATGAGGTTGTTATCCCTCGCCCGTTAAGAGGGATAGTGCTGGAACAAGAGCACCAAGGGCACCCCAACCTGGTGTGAATGAGGGAAATACCCAGGAGCCACTTTGGTTAGCCAGAAGTAGACTCCCAGACTGAGGAAAATGTGGGATCATGCGAATCCTGTGCATTAATAAGGAAGGCATCACCATTGTCACCCCTTCACCAACGGGAGTGGTCTCAATCACCATGGCAGTGGATTCATGTCAATTTTGTGAGACCTGTAGCGGGACAGATGTTACCAGTGGTCCTGGATGCCCACTCCAAGATACCCGAGGTGGTAGTCATGAAGTTGGCCGGCTGGATGAAATATTTACGAGGGTCTCATCATATGCTATAAGTGGGGAGTTTTCCATCATACTCCTGACTTGTGTCTTGTAGATAGTGGACAGGCTTTAGGGAGTTTGGAGATGAGTTTCCCACTGCAAAGTTCTTAGCTCCTAACCTGCTTTTGTAGCCATTGTAGTTGTATAGCTAATCCAGTTCAGCTTCTGGTCAATAGTAACCCCACACAATCTTGACAGTGGTGGATTCAGTGATGTTAATTGAAATAACTCCACTGAGGCTGGTATCCCATCACCAAGTCACCCTTTATTTACATGTGAGAGTCCTTAACACTGATCCAGTTTCCTCAAAGCTAGCTCTGAGTGAACAGAACCTCTGACCCTTCTATATATACCTGTCAGCCAGGACTCCCTGATTGGACCAGGTTAACAAACTGGACCAGATTGGGCAGCAGGGTAGCTCAGTGGTCAGCACTGCTGCCTCACAGTGCCAGGGACCCGGGTTCGATTCCACCCCTAAGTGACTGTCTCAGTGTACATTCTCCCTGCATCTGCATGCATTTCTGCCAGGTGCTCTGGTTTCCTCCCACAGTCCAAAGATGTGCAGGTTAGGTGGATTGGCCATGCTAAATTACCCCATAGTGTCCAAGGGTGTGTAGGTTAAGTGGGTTAGCCATGGGAAATGGAGGGTTACAGGGACAGGGTAGTGGGATAGTTCTGGGTGCGATGCTCTTTGGAGGGTCACTGTGGACTCGATGGGTCAAATGGCCTGCTTCCACACTGTAGGGATTCTCTGATTCTAACAGCTCCAATCAGGGAACTCCTATTCTATGTAGTCCACCTAGCTGACCTTGGTACAATCACTGCATTAATGCCATGTCAAGGGACATTGGTTAAATTTTTTCTTGTTGGTGATGGTGATTCCCTGGTACATAAAAGCCATGAATATAATTTGCCACTTATCAGCCCAAACCTGGATACTGGCCAAGTTTTGCTGCACATGGTCTTAGACATCTTCAGTATCTGAAGAATTGCAATCAGTCCCATAATACATTCTGAGATAACAAGGTGTAGAGCTGGATGAACACAGCAGGCCAAGCAGCATCAGAGGAGCAGGAAGGCTGATGTTTAGGGCCTAGACCCTTCTTCAGAAATGGGGGAGGGAAGGGGGTTCTGAAATAAATAGGGAGAGAGGTGGAGGTGGATAGAAGATGGATAGAGGAGAAGATGGGTGGAGAGGAGACAGACAGGTCAAAGAAGCGGGGATGGAGCCAGTAAAGGTGAGTGTAGGTGGGGAGATAGGGAGGAGATAGGTCAGTCCAGGGAGGACAGACAGGTCAAGGGGGCGGGATGAGGTTGGTAGGAGATGGGGGTGGGACTTGAGGTGGGAGGAAGGGATAGGTGGGAGAAAGGACAGGTTAGGGAGGCGGGGACGAGCTGGGCTGGTTTTGGGATGCGGTCGGGGGAGGGGAGATTTTGAAGCTGCCATACATTCTGTCATCTTTGACTTTGTTCTGAGTCGTCATGATTAAGTCTCTTTCTTTCCTGCTTCCCAACGTAGAAATTGTGCGGGATGCTTTAATCGATGTCGCTGTCTACAATTTCCGGAGAGTCCCCAATCACTTAAGAGCAGCTAAGGTATGTTGTGGATTAAGGCTGATAATTGTTTGCCTACAAATATGTTTTATAACGTTGCTGACAGTCTAATATAGGTAATGGAATGTTGGTTCACCCCATAGTTTGGGCATTTGTTTTGGGCACAGGGAGCTGATTGTGGAACGTACTGTTTAAAATGATTGGTAATTGAAAGAATTATTGCGAAAATTTTCTTCTCACACTCATCAGGCCAAACAGAAGAATGCAAACCTTTAAACAATCAGAATAATTTGTACTAACATGAGAAAGGTGTAGCTTGGTAGGCAAGTCAACTTTGATTGGGCAAGCTGTTGCCATGGAGAAAGCTCTAGAAAACGATAGACTCCTGGGTGATTCCAACAAAGGTGCAAGCATTGAAGGTATTCCTTTTATTTGCCGTGAACAGATTGCTACAGGTGAATGTATGTCCCTTCAAGCCAGCAGAAGTGAGCAATGTTATTAGCTTCAATTGATTCTCACATTGCTTTTTTGTGTAGCTATTAGCACATTCAAGACCGTTCAGCAAGCTCGGCCCAATAATGGAATTGGAATCTACGGTAGACATGGAGTTTTGGGTTTCAGAAGCACAGACTGGTTGAGTACAGTCAATACTCTGCCTATTCTGAGCAACCATTAAAACATATTGTCAGCCAATGACTGGGATCTATCCCTATGTACCTGACATCACACTTGAAATAACTTCACAGAGGCCGGTTTCCTGTTACCGAGTCAAACTTTGAAAATAAGTGTCCTTAACATTGATCCAGCTCCCTTAGAGCCAACTCTCAGAGTGAACAGAACCTCTGACGTTCCTGTGTATATCTGTCAGCCAGAGCTTCCTGATTGGGCCTGTTTATCTGGTCCAATCAGGGAACACATATTCTATGAAGTCCACCTGGCTGAACTCGCTACAATCACTATAGCACTGGCACTGAAATCATACAAAATGGTGACAGGCAGAATGCTCTGGACCCAGGCCAATACTGGGCAGAATTTAATGGTTTTAATGGTTTCTCACCCACTGCCAAAAGGGTCTTTAGGGAATACAAAGCTGAGACTGGGTGGGAAGCAGCCCTTGGATGCTCATCAATCTACCGGCTTAAGAGATTCAATTGAAGAGCATGTGGGCACAACTCCCAAAGGCCTCAAACACATCCCGCAAAATTGGGAACAAAAATTGCTTGAAAAGCTCGGCAGGTCTGGCAGCACCCGTTGTATTTAGACACTTTACTTTGAATTTATATTTTCTTTGCACTTGAGCCCTGCTCCTTTAATATTATCATACCACAGTCAGTTATTTAGTTTCTTGTGCATGCTAACAAATTGGGAAATTTTCAAGGGGGTTAAAAAAAGTCTTCAATTCTTAATCCTGTTTTCTTTGGGCGCTTACTTCAAAATATACTAATTTGCAGGGAATGGTCTACTTTTTTGTTAATATTGTACAGTAAAAGAAGAAAATATCAAAACACATCCTTATATATTGAGATAACAAAGTGTGGAGCTGGAGGAACACAGCAGGCCAGGCAGCATCAGAGGAGCAGGAAAGCTAATGTTTCGGGTCGGGACCCTTCTTCAGAAAATAAATATATATTTATATATATTATATATATATATATAAAATATATATTATGTCTATATATATAGACATATAAATATATATATATATACACACATATATACACATATAATATATATTTTATATAGTGAGCCCTATAAGTAGAGGAAAGTGGTCTACAGTAGAAACCAGAGTTTAGAATACAGAGCATGCTTAGTTTACACTGGGAGAGTCAAGATCTGATTAAATTATGACAAACCCAGTCAAATGCCACGCTGAGATGCATCATGCCAACTATTTGTGAAACCCCAAGGGAAATGCAGAGCCTTCTCCTTGGCAGCCAGAATCGGGCAGTGGGAGTGCATCGGCAATCTTCCTTGTCATTAGTTGCCATTGGATTAACTGGGCAGCAAATGGACTCTCCGCGCTGCATGCCAATTGAAGAGAGTTACAGCCTCTTCAGTCTTGGAACAGCTACCGAGAGAGGGAGGCTGCATGGAAACTGAGAGGGAGGAAAAGCATAACGGTCCTGCTCAGGCCAGGCCGGAGGGACCCCTTTGATCAGAGGTGTTAGCCCCTCTGTGGCACAGTGGCTGCAAGGACAACAATCGTTGTCAGGATTCCCTTTGCTTTGGCCACAGAGCTGACCAATATGGCAGACCGACCACCCATCCACCCCCAGCAAGCCATCGGTAAGTCACCTTGATGCATTTAAAACCGTTTAACGAGAGAAGCACTGCCAGGATTCAGAGTTCTGAAAAATTTCACTATAAATGGAGCCAATCTTCAATCCCTCACAAATTACAGTTTCAGATAATTCTTAACGTTCTCGTTAAGTGCTTAAGTCAGACTGATCTTTGCAAAAACACAGTTGCCATCAACATAGTGACATGCTGGTGAATATTTTGCTGTTCAGAATTCCTTTTCTAAAACAATTTACTGCTGTTATGATCCCAGTGAAGGTTCTACTGGATAAGTCAGATCCTAGAGAGAAACCTGACATGACATGTTTCATTGTTGCAATTTAATTACTAGGGCCTTCACTGCACGCACACAAAGCTGCAAATCTAAGGTTAATAATTGTACATAAGTTTCGTACACAAAAGAAAGAAAAACAAATGTGCGTGCGTGTGTGT